ACCTTGTACACACGCTCAATTTCCGATCGCTCTGTCTCCAACCTTATGCAACATGCCGACTTTTCAACCTCGTCTCTGAATAAGAAGAATGCGTTCTTTGTGAAAACCGCCGCTCCACTCTTCTGAAGTGAGACTAAGACATTGCTTGTGATGGTTTGTTCTCGATGAATGGATTCAAAATCAGCATGACGCTCATTCTCCCTCATATCCCTAGTCCAACGATCAAAGTGAATAAAGAACTCAAGGAGATTTTTATCCTTCTCGATATAATTGGCAAGTTGAGAGTTCAGTCCTTCACATCTTGATGTTGTACTCAAGCCTGCGAAGAACTTCGAACGCAAATATGCATACCCACATTCATGTCTTTGGTCAAATAAATTGGAGACCCAATTGTTGTGCTGAAGGGAGCATTCCTCAACCACTGTTTTCCACTTTTCTTCGAATTCTGAAGGTTCCCAGTCAGCTGACACAAAATGCTTCCATCGGGGCAAAAAAGTAGGATGATTCTTCACATTTCTGGTTATAGTCTTGTCTATATGCCAGGAACATAGACGATGTGTTGCATCGGGAAATACTTTCTGAATAGCATTACGCATTGCTCTATCCCCATCTGTAATAACAGTCTTGGGATCTACACCGCCTAGCCTTCTCTTCAAAGCTCCCAACACCCAAATATAATTGTCCTCTCTCTCGTTAGCCAAGAAAGCACATGCAAATACGCAAGTTTGCGAATGGTGGTTGACACCTAAAAAAGTTCAAACAAAGTTAGATTATGCAAACTTCTAGGGTTATTTTAGCATGCTCGGGATAATTCTATGTGTGAAGGAAAAGTACCTGAAAAAATCACGAGAGGCATCTGGTAAATGTTCCTTTTGTAAGTAGCATCGAATGACAGTAATTCTCCAAAGCATGCATAATCAGCAACAGAAATACTATCGGCCCAGAAAATGTTAGTAAGCCGGTCGTCGTCATCCTTCTTTAGTTCAATAACGAAATGCTCGTCCGCGCTGCATTTAGCTTGCAGGTAGGCTAGGGCTGTTGCGGCATCACCTTCACTGATTTGTTCTTTCCTCTCTTTGTCCACATAATTATATGCATCCTTCCTCGTGTACCCCAAATTGTCGTAGCCTCCTGCTTCTGATACGGCCAGATTCACAATTTGAGAAGTTTTCATACCTGCAGCTCTTCTAAAATTTATCGCTACTTTGACTGCATCACTCATACGACGTTTCTCTTTCATGTAGTGTCTATATTCTCTGGGGATCGTTTCATGTGTGTGTACATCATCAAACTGGTGCACATACCACTTCCCATCAACATTGTCTTGTTTAACACACATCTTGGCTCTGTAGTTAAATCTGGTCTCCCCTCTTGCTTCTCTCTTTCGTTCTGTGCTCTTCACGCGCCTCTTTCCCTCGCCAGAGCATACATAGTCACGCCATATCATAACTTTGTTCTTATCACGACCAATGTCTGATTTTCTGATGTCGAAGCCTTTGACTAACCCGTAGTCCATGTAGAAATCATAGGCTTCTTCTGTATCATCGAACTTCATTTTTTTAATATCTTCATGCTGTAGAAATATGAGATCGGCGACATTATCATCCTGGGTGGTGTCACTGGCTCCGGCACCAGCGTTTTCTTGGACTTCCTCCGACGTCAATACTAGGACTTCCTCCGACGTCATTGTCACTGGTGAGTCTGCCGCCGACGTCATTGTCACTGCTGGAAATTTTGGGGAACCAAGGACGTAGATTACAAGACCCTACTGGGAATGACAGCCGAATTAATGCTTCAATGGGCCACTTAATAATTATCCCCATTAATAACACGAGTTGTGATATCTTATATTTTTGGTAGGAACGAGTTGAACTTTCTGTTCTTTATCTTAGTGATTTCTTTACCATTTTCACAAATAACGAAAATATTTAAAATGAAAAAACTTTCTTAGTAAAGCCAAACGCCAGCTGACTCTAGCTGTGTACTACTACGTGTATGGGGAAGGATCAAATATTAATATGAGCGAATATTACTAATAGCACTCAATTCTTTATTCGATCGAAAAAAGTATATTTTTAATTTTAGGTTTAATAACTACCCATGTTTATCCCAAGTTAATGTACCTTAGACTAAACCCTAACTATTTTTCCCCGGGAAAAATATGGCGCCACAATTTATCCTAACCTTGTATATATAATTAACCTTCATCGGTAGAGCAGTGGTTCCATATCCTTCTTTGCCGCGATTTTGAGTACAGAGTAAAGCTTAGATTAGAGGCACAACATGGAAAATAAGAGAATTACTCGCTCTTCGTCCAAGCTTGTGGTATGTATAATAGCTCTTTTTACCATTGAAATTCATTCTAGTTAATTTATTAATCGCAGGTTCACTGTCATTGTAGGAGACAGCCGAATTTGTGACTCCAACAAAGAAACCAAGGATACCCAAATGTGTAAGCACTCCACCCACTCCTGCTTCAGTCATCGTTTTTATTTCGGACGATGAATCTGACTCCGAGGTCACACCAAAGAAGCCAAATGGAAAAAGTATTTGTCTACCTTCTGTTGACAAGGTAATAAAGGTGTCATGTTTGCCATTGAAGTGTTCTTTGCCGTTATTCCGTCATAACGAATGCATTTCCACTCGTGTTTATTTGTGGCCCCTATTCCAGGTTGTTTTGAAGTTTAAGCTACCTACCGCTATGGAATACGATGATGAGCAAATCCAGCTTGCTCACTATATATTTTTAGCCCATCTGCCACCTGACAAAGTATTGGTCAAAACCTCTAACAACTCTTGTACGAGGAAGTCATTGTGGTCCTTAAGCCCTCGCTCATTCGTAGATGCTGAAGTAATCAACGGAACTCCAAAATTTTGTTTTGTTTGTCCACTATCAATGCTTTCTACGTAGAATTATTTTATAACAACTCGATAGTATCATGAAGTGTTTTTTGTCCATGTTATATTAGGTTATAACAGCGATGGCCTGCCACTTGACTCTAGAAGAGTTGTGGACAAATTCCAAGGACGGAAAAGGAGTGTGCTATCTGTCTGCTGAACTACAGGTTGTGGTCCGATTATACTTAATGACAATTTCCTCTCACCAAAAAAATTACAACACATGTGTTTTTAACGTGAATCATATTGTGTTGACAAAATTTCAATTGTGCAACTACCACATGGGCAGGAACTAGTGATTTCATGTGGAATAACACCCAAGATGGCATTAGACCTATACCAATCAAAATTCCTTAGTCGAACCAATATGGTGAACAAGGTAAACTGTTCGTCTTAATAAGTATTACATGGTTTGCAGTTTATTTTTTTAATACGTGTTGACAATTTCCGCATATGTAGGTGTGTGTTCCGATGAGAGATAATGCCCATTGGTACTTGGCTGTCATTAAGTTGGACAAGGAAGAAGTCCATATCTTGGATCCACAACCAAATGAAGACCGCAATTCCTTTCGACTACAATCTGTTCAAACAATGGTAAATTTGTGACATTGTGCCGTTATAACGCAAAAAAATGTAAATAACTCTTTCTAAGTACAAACGTTTCTTAATTTGTACAGATGAGCTTTATGCAAGCCTTGTGGAAGATTCTCTATCGTGAACAAGGATTGTCGCCACCAAGGATTGCGGAGTTTGCGTACCCAACTCCTTCAAAGGATCAAGAACAACTTAATCGGTAAGTATGCCCATTTTTTTGTGATATTAAACGACGACTTATCAACTTGGTTCTTATCACGCAATGCTTTTATTTTATGTAGGTCTGACAGTGGAGTCTGGGTATGCATGTGGATGTTTGGCGCAAGCTGGGACTCCTCTTATATTTGGGTAAAGACAATTCTAATTCGCATATTAGAAAACCACAATTGATTGTTATTTTTGAATCATGCGGTAAGCACCATGTTTGTTGATGTTGATAGCCATGCACTCAAGTGAGGAGGATGCAGATCGCTTTGTACCTTATTCGAGAGCCCATGAACTACATAAGGCATATGGTGCTCACGGAAGCAAGAAGAGTTGCACCTCAAGTTGAAGCTGTAGTGGAAGAGTACAAGAAAACCCATGAAAAGAGGAAAAAGGAAAGAGAAGAGCACAAGGAAACCCAGTCAACGAGCCCAAGAACAACCTGATTTTGCGTTTTAGTTTTCAAGATGATGGACAACAGTTATGTTTTTTTTTCTCAGGATGATGGACAACCGTTTTTTATTTGGTTCGGTGAATGCTTATTATTTTTGGTTTTTATATTTGGTTTTTGGTTTGGTGAATGCTTTTTATATTTGGTTTTTGGTTTGGTAAATGCTTTGTATATTTGGTTTTTGGTATTGTGAATGCTTGCTATATTTGGTTTTTGGTATTGTGAATGCTTTCTATATTTGGTTTGGTTTGGTTTGTTTTTTCGTGGAAATGGCAAAGGGACTTCACCAAAATTCCAGCTTCCAACTTGTGAGTGAGGTTGCTTCTGTTCAAGGCTTCAAGCCATTGTATCTTGTAGAGAGGTTTAATTGGGATCATGTATAGTTACACTGATTGGCTCCCAATCGTATAATTAAATTTGCATTCATGTATAGGTAACCCAAAAGGTAAAACTGATTGGCTCCCAATCAGTATAAATAATGACCAAACCCAGTACAAGGCAGATAGAAAATTCTTATGTAATTAATTTAATGTTCCTAGGATATGGAAAGGCTTCCATGTAAAGGATTGAAAGTAGTGATTTACATTGATGAGGCGAGTGGCTTAAGTACCAACTCTTGAACAGATTGAAGCTACAAAGTAGGAGCCACTAACCCACTAACTAAAAATTATGACGTTACTAACTAATAATAATAAAATTAATTATTTACAGAAATTGAATTTATGCACAGCCCTTATCATTCCATTCCTTGAATTTCCACCAACGATGTTTTCACTCCCCTTTTAGTCAGAGAATTCATTGTAGTAATAAATACAATAAAAGGCATACATAATTAATGGATTGTTTATTGTGTATAATTAAAGATATTTTACTATAAACGAAGCATGATAGATCCACAGGGGGATAAAAGAAGCATGAGTCTTGACGAAAAAGGGGGAAAAAATCACCATAGATAAAAAATCATTATAATCAACCTAATTGGAACTGCTTAGAACAAAAGCGGATTAAAATCTCCCCCAATGAAATTCATTTGCAATTTCATAGGTAGTCCCTACTTCCACTTCTATAATTTTGAGAAAACATTGCAATTTCATCAATAGTCCCCACTCGTGGGCCAATTTCAATTGCAACCAAATTTGCACCCTTGCAATAGCTTCTCACATCATAGCAAGTGTAGGATGCAATTGCACCTCCTTGCTTAGGGATGACCATTACTGCATCTCGTCACCTGTCTTAGGGAAATTAGCCATGGCAAATTCACAAAATACTGCATGCATAGAAAAATATTTGTCTGGATAATTAAAAAAATGGGAGACTTTCCTAGTCAGATGATGTACTGGCTCCCCTCAGTACCTGACAGTTTTGAGTGCTGGAGAAAAAGACTTGGAAAAAAAAACAACGAAGCCTTACAGTAAACTTCTTAACAAAACACATCCAATGCTGGCCCCTTCACTGCTCCACCCCGCCATGCACTGCTCCACCCCGCCCTGCATCAATCGACTCTCATGTAAGCCGAGGACGTTTGCTTGAGGATGCCTCAGGGGTCTCTTCATGCTCCGTATGCCAAAGGTCATAAAAAGTATTGGTCACTTCGACGATACGGTAGACTGGCAAATAGGCGGAATGGTCCTCTCTAGCATAAACCCCCATATCCATCCCAACCCTTCCAAGAAAGGTGGTCAAGAAGGTGGCATATGGAAAGGCAGTGTACCAGTTTACCCCTCTAGGAGCAGCCTCAACCATGTTCACGCACATGAGAGATGCGAGGTTAAGAGGAACACCTCTTTGAGCTTGCACAAGGATAAACAGGTCAAGTTTACGAATTATCGAATGACCACTGTACCTTGGCATGAAGCAGTTGACGATCATCCAATGGAGGAATCGAAGAGGATCTGGGAGGAAAGAAGCCTGGATGTGCCCATTCGTCAGTCTCGCCAGTTCAACTTCGAACTCAAAATCGTACAGCCGAAGATCGCTTCTGCTATCAATGTGGTGTCCTGCGGCGGGGAGATCGAGGATCTCAGCAAACTGATGAGGTTGGAAGCAGGCTCTATAACCCAGGAAGACCGACACGAGATGAGAATCGGAGGGACCAGACAGCTCTAAATTGTGGTAGAACTTCCTCACCACATGCGGGCAGTAATTGGTGCTTCCTCGACTCCAGAGATCAAAGAACTTTTCCCAGCCAAGATTTTTAATTAACTGCTTCACTTTTTGAGGGAAAGGGGACAGGTGGATGAACTCGTACTCGGCCACAATAGATGTCTTGCTCGTGAATGAAAGATAGTCCGCGAGACTTGGGGTGAATCGGCAGTCGTCGTTTGATAGAGTTAGTATGCCCATATCCACAAACGATTTGCCTTTGTTTGCCATGGAGTCAGAGGAAGAAGGAACAAGGGAAGGTGAAGATGGAGGAAAGAGAGATTGTAGGTGTAAGAAAAAGTGATCGTGGGGGTTGAGTGTGGAGACGTGTGATGGAGACGGTTGAGTCTGGAATGTCAAGAGTTAGAAGATTTGGGAAGATATGTAGTAATGATGATGTTAACTCGTGTAGGTTAAACTAGGGTAACTAAAGCTAGTTAAACTAGGGTTGGCGCTGATACCGCAGGAGAAAACTAATGGGCTCGCACGTTCCAGGCCCACTTTTGAATATTGCATGGGTCATGTACAAGCCCACGTTTGAATGTTATTTAAAAGCTAGTTAAACTAGGGTAACTAAAGCTAGTTAAACTAGGGTTGGCGCTGATACCGCAGGAGAAAACTAATGGGCTCGCACGTTCCAGGCCCACTTTTGAATATTGCATGGGTCATGTACAAGCCCACGTTTGAATGTTATTTAAAAGCCTGGAAAAATCAATGATCAGACCCAGTCCAACTAGAATTAGTCCTAAACGCACCGTTAATACATAAACACAAACTAAGGAGACCTCTCCATCCGATTCGAATCAAATTATGTGTTCTTCATCTTCTTCCTCAATCCTCTGGGCGAGATGAACACTACATATCAGGAAACCTAAATTCACCGAGAGATATAAGGCTCGAGAAAATCACAATAACGCTAAGACAAGATGACAAAGCACTAGGGACATGAACCCTAGGGTTAGCAAACCTCTTTCAAGGGTTCTTTTGCAAATGAAAAGTTCGATGAACACAATAATAGACATGGTCGCCGTAATCGTGTTAGAAAGAGATAGGCGAGGGGAAATACAATGGCGAAGAAGAAACAAGACAAATTTTTTTTGGGAAATTCAATCTACGTCGAATGTGGATGGGGAGCTTCTCTTGGAACTGTGAAGGGGCATCCCTCCAAGACGAGAGAGGGATCGTGTAATTGGTTAGGGAGACTGGAAATTGGTTTGGGCGGCAGTGGGTCTACCCAATTGGGTTTGGGTCTTAATCCATTTAATTTAATCGGGGCAGTTAGTTGGACTAGGATGAAAACAAACTTAACGCGGAGGAGGCTTTTTGTAATTTGTTTAGTTATTTAGTGGCGCAGTTAGGTTTAACAAACGTGAGCCGTGGAGATTGAAAACGAACGGTTAAGATCGGCCAAGGTACCCGTACCCGGCTTTTGCCCTGGGCACCGTAGAAGTCACCATATATATATATATATGTGTGTGTGTATATGTGTGTATATATATATATATATATGTGTATATGTGTTAAATTATATTTTATTCAAGGATAACAACTTAAGAAAAGAACACATGCGTATGTATGAAAAATTATAGAAAATTTCACAATTAAAAAAATGAGGTTTTTTGCTGGTTAGGTTATCGATCGGTTATTTTGGTATAACCTTGTCGAATCACTTGGTTAACGGTTATCCGGTTAAGCGAAAAAATAAGCGAGAACATAATAAACGGTTACGGTTAACTGACTAAATTAAATGGTGCGATTAGCAGTAAGCACAAAGTGCTTAACGATTAACCGAGAACCGACTAAATGGTTCAGATTATAACCGAACCGAACTGATTATCAACCCTAGCCTTCCCAGTACAACGGCTAAGAGAGTCGATATCAGTAAAATCCTTCTACAACAACTAAACCCTATCCACGGGTATCTTATATGATCCAACCCGGTTAAAGCGTGAAAAACTCACGTTTGCAGGCCGAATTCAGGTTGAAATCCATGGCATTGTTCAGTGGGTTGGGTTGGGTTCGAGTTTAAGTTTACCCAACTCATGAATATCGACCCATACCCATAATCCCACTATCTTCCTTATGTTTGTGGAGACATGTCTAATTTGTTGTTCTTACTAATTATCTAGAATGAAGTTAATATTACGGAGAGGGAGTGATGTTAAGATGACAATTTTCAAGTTCTCGAGGAGGACGGAGCGTTCAATTAACTGTGTTGTTTGTGGATGTTTATCTTCAGTATTGAGCAATTAGTATAGATAATCTGTAAGTTTTCTTGTATGTATTAGATTGTTGTTTTTTGTATTGAAAATTGTATTGGCAGATTGGTGTTAAGTTCTTATTTTGACAGATATATGATTTTGTATATTTTTCCATCATAATAATCTATGAATATCCATGAACCCGCGCATATATCCAATAGGTTGGGTTGGGTTTGAGGTTCCAGAACCTGATGATTTTTCCCGAGATTTTTTTTTTGGATATATATACCCGTTGATTTGGGTTTGAATTTGACATAACCCAACCCATTGCTATCCCTACCGCACACTTTCAAATGATGCATAGGGTGTTGAGATATTTAAAGCAAGATTCTTATGTTATACATTTTCAACCATTATATATAGAGTTGTGATATTTAAAGCATGCTAAGATTGAGGTGAACATTTTTTAGCGGCATGTAGAGTGTTGAGATATTTACAAAGACTTTCATTTGTATAATTGGATAGTGCACTTCTTTTTGGGTACTATCTATTAATATAAAGACAAAGAAGTAGGGCAATTGTTTTCATGTTATTTAGGGATGACAATTTTGTCTAAATCCGTGAATATTTACTTATTTAACCCAATCACTTGAGTACGAAATTTAAATATAAGGTATATAGGTAGAGTTTGATGAATTTATACACATATTGATTTATTTTAGGCTGAGTTGGGTTGAGTTTTCAATCCATGTATTTGACTTTTACTCATACTCATATCCAAAATATACTTTGATGCCTAAAGTGTTAGAGAGTGGTATAAGATCCATCATAACCTTCTCCCAACAACTCGAGTTATTGGGACCAACTTATTTATGACATGGTATCAAGACCAATTTGCTTAGCATTGGTCAGCTGCAAGAGAAAGGTTTGGCTTTCTTGTTTAAGAATGCAAGTTGCAAGATCTTCCATGAAGAAAAGGGTTCGATGCTGCAGACTGAGATGAAGTCAAACAGGATGTTTGTCATACATCCTGAAGATCAACTGAAGAGTCAAGAAATCCATTGTTTTCAAATTGCAAGTGGCAAGGAGAAATAATCGGAGCTATGGCATAAGAGATTTGGTCATGTGAACTTAACAGGCCTAAAGCAACTGCAACAGAAAGGATTTGTCAAGGATCTACCTGCACTTAAGAGGGATATGGAGGTCTGTGCTACTTGTCTCATAGGCAAGCAACACAGGAAACCATTTCCTAAGAAGAGTATGTGGAGAGCAAGTCAGATGCTGGAGCTGGTACATTATGATCTGTGTGGACCTCTTACACCAGTTTCAAATGGTGGAAAAAGGTATATACTTACTCTGACTGATGACTTTAGCAGGAATTTGTGGGTCTACTTTCTTGTTGCTAAGTCAGAAACTCTAGAGTATTTTAAGAAGTACAAAGCACAGGTTGAGCAAGAAACTGGTTCACAGATCAAATATTTGAGAACTAACAGGGGAGGAGAATTCATGCTTAATGAATTCAAGGAGTTGTGTGATGAATCTGGAATCAAAAGGAAACTTAAAGCTGCCTTGACACCCCAGCATAATGGGGTAGCTAAAAGGAAAAATGGAACAATTCTAAACATGGTTAGATGCATTCTAGAATATATGAAAGTGCATGCTGTGTTTTGGGCAGAAGCAGTGGTCTGGACAACTCATGTCCTGAACAGAAGTTCAACAGCAGCAAACCAAGGTAAAATACCACAACAGCTATGGACTGGAAGTCCTCATTCTGTATCCCACTTTCGTGTTTTTGGTTGTGTTGCATATAGGCATGTACCTGATCAACAGAGAAGGAAGTTAGATGATAAGAGTGTTCATTGTCAGTTTATTGGTATATCAGTTGAATGAAAAGCCTACAAGCTCTGAGGTGCAACCAGTCCTAACACAATTGTTTTGGGAAGAAGGTGATCATGACTGGTTTGATTCTGAAACAGAAGAGGATGCTGCAGATTTGACTATGCCAGTTGTTTCTGCAGAACTAGAATCACCACAACCTGTTACTCCAAAAACACCAGAAGGAACAATAGGAGGCTCAACGAGTGGTGACACAAATGATGAGAATGACATGGATATGGGTACAGATGTTTTGGGGCTCCAAGTGAAAATCTGGGGAAAAGGGTCAGCAAGTTGCCTATCCATTTCTAGAACTTTGACATGAGCTTTGTTGCTATTGATTAGGTAGCAATGGTAGCTGTAACTGATCATCCTCAAACGTTTGAATAAGCAATCTTGGATCCCAAATGGAATGCTGCAATGAGGAAGTGTTTGTGCCTAGAATGTTCTAGGCGGTTGTGAGGCTCCGATCTGGACTCCTTCGTTTGATCTCCTCGAGAGGGGAAGAACCTGTGAGGCGGGGGGGGGGGGGGGGGGGGGGGGCGGGATAAACTCCGACGCCCAAGTTAGTACGATATAGGAGAGTGTATGGTATGTAGAGAGATAAAGTAGAGAGAGACCTTAGGGGAAAGTGAGGAAGGGAAAAGGAGAAGATCCCTAGCTTGGAGGGTTAGACCTCCTTATATAGGGTTTGGGCTTCCTTGAGTGGGCTTGGGCCCAGGATTCCTTGCGGTGGGCTTGGGCCCGTTTATAGTCGTGTAGGCATATTAATCCATACCCAACAATTGCCCCATTACTTCTTGTATTCTGTAAGAATGGAAGGAGTAATATAATGCGTTAATCGTGTATTAATTTGCCTTACTTATGAATCCGGATGATGCGGTTTGCCCCTTGTGCGAGTTGCGTAATCATTTCCTTTGCCCCTTGCTTGACTTTCGATGTCTTGAACCAAAGCTCTCAAGTCGTTAAGAGTTCCTTCGCTAGTCCATTGTTGTTAGCGCTAGTGGACCATAATTGCGACCTAGGTAGGGTGGCCCCCACGGCTTGAGAGTTTTAACTCAAGACGCTCTTGTTTCGTGTCTCCCCAATGTCGCGTCCATGTTGTCAGGAAGTCATGTATCTTGTTAATGTCTTACTTGTGTGAGGCAAGATCAACTGTTATCTTCTAGGAAGCTTAGTATTTTGCCTTTTGAGAAGCGCATTAGTCTCTCGGCTTCATGGAAATCTTAGTGCTTCTTCGGCTTCCTGGGGTGCGCTTCTCCTTTGGCTTCCTGGGAAGCGCGTCGCTCCTCGGCTTCCTGGGAAGCGCGTTGTTCCCTTGACTTCCTGAGAAGCGCATCGCTCCTCGGCTTCCTGGGAAGCGCGTCGCCTCTCGGCTTCCTGGGAAGCGCATTGCTCCCTTGGCTTCCTAGGAAGCGCATCGCTCCTCGGCTTCCTGGGAAGCGCGTTGCTCCCTTGGCTTCCCGGGAAGCACATCGCTCCTCGGCTTCCTGGGAAGCGCGTCGCTCCTCGGCTTCCTGGGAAGCGCGTTGCTCCCTGGGCTTCCTGGGAAGCGCGTCGCTCCTCGGCTTCCTGGGAAGTGCGTCGCTCCTCGGCTTCCGGGGAAGCGCGTCGCTCCTCGGCTTCCGGGGAAGCGCGTCGCTCCTTCGCTTCCTGGGAAGCACATCGTTCCTCGGCTTCCTGGGAAGCGCGTCGCTCCTCGGCTCCCTGGGAAGCGCATTAGTCTTTGGCTCCCAACCCCATGGGAGGCGCTCTGTCTTCCAGCCTTTTGAGAGGCGTGCGTCTTCAAGCCTAACTCGGAGGTTAGAGATATGTATTTGAGCAACGTCCGAAGAAGATAGGTGTTCCTTTCCAAGCCTAACTCGGAGGCGGAAAGCATTCCCGGGGGGAGCATCGCTCGGAGGCGGGAGCATTCCCGAGAGGGAGCATCGCTCGGAGGCGGTTTTCGAGCCTTGCCCAAAGGCGGAAGGCGTGAATCATTCCTCGGAGGCGGAAAGCATTCCCGGGGGGAGCATTGCTCGGAGGCGGGAGCATTCCCGAGAGGGAGCATCGCTCGGAGGCGGTTTTTCGAGCCTTGCCCGAAGGCGGAAGCCGTGAATCATTCCCCGGAGGGAGCATCCCTCGGAGGCGGGAGTCTTCGAGCCTAACCCGGAGGTCGGAGGCGTGAGTCTTCAAGTATCTTATAAAGATTCCAGTGGCTAGTGCCCAATATATTTAGAGCGTAAATATATCATAATATGTTGAGGAGGGTGCCTAGCATGGTTACAATGCGCCTCTTCATGGCATGATATTTTTTAAATTTTAAAGCGTGGTGGTAATGACCGTTTCATGAGTAAATGAGAAATATTTTTGAGGAAAATACTTATCTCGAGGTTGAGCCGTAACACATAGCAGAAAGTCAAATTCTTAGCATTGCAGTAGTGGTGCATGTAGTGCTTCATAGCATACTAGTAAAGTGCTTCCTCCAGGTAGGCCTAGGGCGCGTGTTCTAATCTCCTTGCAGGCGTTTTTAGTCGCTTGACTTCGCCAATGCTTGAAGACCGCGAAGCGGGCCGGACTGGTGGGCCGTTGGAGGCGCGGGCCGTTGTGCTCCGAAAGCTTGGCGGGCTCATCTTCAAGACGGGCTTGTGTTGTGCGTCTGCAGGTCGGACGGGCTTTGACCGCGAGGGGGATGCACGCGATGCGTGGCGGGCCTCGACTTGAGCGGTCCGTTGAAGTCGGGTACTAAAGCGGGCCATGGACGAAACGTGGGCATGGACGAGACGAAGCGGGCCTTGACTTGGGCTTTAGGCGATCTTGGGTCTGATGTAGTAGGCGGGTTTGGTTGAATGAAGGCGGGCCGACTGGAGGCGGTCCATTTGACGCGAAGGCGGGGGACCTCCTTGTGTGACGAAATGTGAAGTGGGCCTAGTCCTTGGTCGGGAGGTGGGCTAGTTGCAAAGCTGGGCGGTCCACTTGTGGGGGTGGATGTCGGGCTTTGCACATCGATCTGGTGGTGTGAACCGCGTTACGGCCCAATGCGGATGGTGATGGAAGTGTGGCAGTCCATTTGTGGCGCGACTGTTCTTGGCACTGCGTTGAAGTTGGGCCAGCGTTGAGAAACTTGAGGCGGGACGCGTTTGTCACTTGGTGGGCCAATCCTGAAACTTTGTTGGCGGTCCGGCATGTAAAATGTGGGCCTTGGCGGTTTTGGTCCTCCTTAGCGGGCTAGGGTAGTGATTCAGTGAGGAGAATTTATGGTGACCCTTTTCTATTTCTCTTATGCTTTTTGGACGCAGAGTCCCTTCTTCTTCAGCGTTTCCCATCCATTTTGCCTCGATAACTGTTCTCCTCAATATCCGGGTCTGCCTGCTTTTTCTGACAAGGAGAAAAGTAACTTTCCCTACTTTCGGTGTCATTGGGGGAAACCATGATGGTGACTACGACAAGACCTCTTCTTTTTCCGTCGAACGTCGGTGGTGCTTGCGACCCCGGTGACCAGAATCTGAATTGTTGGCTTGCTGCCTTGTTGTTTTCCGGCTGGTTGGTGATGGTGATCAACACGGAGGGAAGAAAACATCGGCGCTGGCGTTGACGAGCAGTTGGGCGGCTACTGGTGACTACAGCAAGGACTAGCAATAACGTTGCAACTGGCGGCTGCATCGAGCTTTGCCGACGGAGGTGAGTGGCTGGGCGACGACCGGTGAAGACGACGCGCTCCGCGGAGACGAATCAGGCTTTTTCTTCCGTGAGCTCTTCTTTTTCCTATTTTGCCTTTATCCCTTTCTTCTTTTGTTTTTGTTCCCTGGTTGAGTTGGTGACGGCGAGAAACATGGAGGAGAGCAGCACTGATGTTGTGGTCGATGTTGAAAGAGGGAGAATCAAACTTGTATGGCGCTTTTCCACTTGAGAGTACAGCCCTTAGATCGGGTTCACATGAATCATTTCTTTCTCCTTTTTCTTCGACTGGTCTTCGAAGCCGCCGCAGCTGCAGTGGTGGATGAGAGCATTAAATCTCCTCCCCGTGGCTGGCTTCTCTCTTATTTTCCTTGGATAATCTTCTTGGATCGGCCTTTGAGGAAGCTGGTTCTGGCGTTTCTTGGTTTCGGATCCACTTGTTGTGGAAGAAGACCAACCAATTCTCCTTTTCTTCCTATCATCAGGGGTTGTCGAGGGTGAGCTTGCTGGACGAGTGTGACATCGACGGTTCGGTTTTCTGCTCCTCCCCCCCGGAAACCAAACGATCGAATCTAAGTCAGAGCCCCACGGTGGGCGCCAAATTGTTTGTGCCTAGAATGTTCTAGGAGGTTGTGAGGCTCCGATCTGGACTCCTTCGTTTGATCTCCTCGAGAGGGGAAGAACCTGTGAGGCGGGGGGCGGCCCCCCGGGATAAGCTCCGACGCCCAAGTTAGTACGATATAGGAGAGTGTATGTGTTTGTGCCTAGAATGTTCTAGGCGGTTGTGAGGCTCCGATCTGGACTCCTTCGTTTGATCTCCTCGAGAGGGGAAGAACCTGTGAGGCGGGGGGCGGCCCCCTGGGATAAGCTCCGACGCCCAAGTTAGTACGATATAGGAGAGTGTATGGTATGTAGAGAGATAAAGTAGAGAGAGAGACCTTAGGGGAAAGTGAGGAAGGGAAAAGGAGAAGATCTCTGGCTTGGAGGGTTAGACCTCCTTATATAGGGTTTGGGCTTCCTTGAGTGGGCTTGGGCCCAGGATTCCTTGCGGTGGGCTTGGGCCCGTTTATAGTCGTGTAGGCATATTAATCTATACCCAACAGGAAGGAAATGCACTCCATCAAGAAGAACAATATTTGGACCTTAACTACTCTCCCAGAGGGCTTTGAAGCCATTGGTCTGAAGTGGGTATACAAGACAGAGTTGCATAAGGCAAGGCATTGATTACACAGAATTCTTTTCCCCAGTAGCTCGTTGGGACACCATCATAACATTTTTGGCACTTGCAGCTCATCATGGTCACAATTAATCAGTTGGATGTCAAGAGTGCATTTCTCAATGGGGAACTTACTGAAGAGGTTTATGTGGAGCAACCACCAGGGTCTGTGGTTGTTGGGGAGGAAAGTAAATTTTACGGGCTTCACAAGGCTCTCTATGGCCTCAAGCAAGCACCTAGGGCCTGGTACAATAGGATAGAATCCTATTTTGTCAAGTCTGGTTTTGAGAGAAGCCCCTCTGAACATACACTGTTTTTTAAGAGAACTGGAGCTGGCATTCTAATATTAAGTCTGTATGTGGTTGACCTAATGTATGCAAGCAACAACTCTGAGTTGGTTGCTGAATTCAAACAAGCAATGCAGTCAGAATTTGAGATGACTGATCTTGGGAAGATGCACTACTTTCTTGGAGTTGAAGTCATACAGAGGGATTCTGGAGTGTTTATTTGTCAACAAAAATATGTAAAGGAGGTACTGGCAAAATTTAATCTTCTAGATTGCAATTATGTACACAATCCTATGAGTCCTGGAAGTAAGATGAACAAGGCTAGAGATGGAGTAATGGTGAACCCTACTGAGTATAAGCAGCTGATTGGAAGTCTGTTGTATATGACTACAACCAGATCTGACATCATGTACTCAATTTGTCTTCTTAGAGGGTATATGGAGCACCCCACGAGACAACACATGCTAGCTGCTAAGAGAGTGTTGGGGTATCTAAAAGGAACCATCAGTTTTGGTATCTGGTACAAACGAAGATGTGAAAGGGGAGGAGGAGTTGTTGGGATACACAGACAGTAATTATGCTGGAGACACAGATGACAGGAAGAGCACAAGGTTATGTGTTTTACCTGGTAGGAGGAGTTATTTCCGTTGTCACCTTGTCCACCACTGAAGCAGAATTTGTTGCTGCAGCTCACTGTGCAGCACAAAGTGTCTGGCTCAGGAGGATCTTGGAACAGATAGGATGGAGGAAGAGTACAAAAGCTGCAACAATCATCTTCTGTGATAACAGTTCAGCAATCAAGCTATCTAAGAATCTAGTGCTCCATGGTAGGAGCAAGCTCATTGATGTGCGTTTTCACTTCCTCATAGAGTAGGCGAATGAAGGAGTGATTGAACTTGAGCACTGTGGTACACAAGAACAGGTTGCAGACATCATGACTAAGCCTTTGAAGTTAGACATGTTCCAACTGCTGAGAAGCAAGATGGGACTGTGTGATGTTTCTGAGTATACTGGCGAGATCTGAAGGTTGGTGAAATTGAACTGAACAATGGTGAGAAGGTTCAGTTTAGGGGAGGATTTGTTGGAGAAGAAGTGGAGCTGCTGCTGTTGGAGTAATCCGAATCCGAGCAGTCGAAGGATTGGTTGGGCGACAAAGTTCAAATGGGAGTCTAGTTAAATAAGAAATGATGTTGTGTTGTTTGAATTCAGTATGTTTGTCTATCGAGTGGTCATTTACATGTTGAGTCCTTGAGTCTTGTTAAGTGTCAAGTAGGTCCAGTCAGCAGTTAGAATGATTTGAGACTTAGTCATTAGCTCTGGAAATCATGTTGCTGATTTCAAGAAAACTTAGTGGTGGAAGCTAGTTTTGTTGGCTGAAACACACGAAGTACTTAAGCGTCTTAGTGCTTTCTAATAAAGCTTGTCAGTTTGCAACGTCTTGAGTTTTCACATAAAGTTAATATATTTTTAATTTTAGTATCTAAATTTACCTTTTCATATAAGTGCTAAGAATATCACCAAAAATACATTTTAGTACCTAAATATTTATTGCCTTTCATTTTGATATCTATCTTTTAATATTTTTTTTTACATATATGTCCAATTTTTTTTTGCATGTAGTTTAAACATCAAGTAAATGAGTAAATCAATACCCAACTCATACCCAAATGTAATATGAAAGCAATATATACCTTACTCAACAAACATCCAAATTTGTATATAAACTCCACCCAAACCTTACACAGAAAATATGGAGTTACATAGGTTTGGATAGAATTACCCTTGACTGAATTACTATCATCATCGTCTAAATCTACAAGAATATAGATAGCTGGTTATTGTAACTTCCATCCCCATTCAAATTTTCCTACAACGAAAGTGAAAGTAGAAAGGGTATTTTTGTCTTTACAATGATCTATTTCTTTCTCATTTATTCCAAAAAAAAGAAATACATACTAGAATTTGAACCATGGTCATTTCCAACAATGACAAACATCTTAACCAATCAAACTACATAGATTAGTTGTATCATTTTAAATAAAAAACATACAAGAAGCTAAAATTAAAAAATCACAGAACTTTTCAATGGTTAGCTAAGGTCACTAAATCTTCCCTCGACACTAATTGATGTATGATACTTCGTTATTCATATTTAATTATTTTAATTCTATTTTGATACTTAATTTACATTTCTATTTATCTTATAAATAGAAACTATATGGGGACAGATTCTTTGAACTTTATGGCTCGACTAATCATTAAGTTTTAAACATATTCCTAATCCGACAGACATGATTGGATCCAACAATCATTAGACGAGGTTGAGTTTATTAGGTTGGTTTATTTTATCCTTTTTTATTTATTAAAATGAATTTGTAGAGCAAGGACATGTCTACATATACACTCTACACAATATATACTACTAGCATGATAAAATTGCCGTCCCATTGCAAATTTCCTACAATGAAAGAAAAAAAAAAGAATGACATTTTTGTCTTCGCCATTATTTATCTTTATTTTGTATAAAAAAAATAGACAAGTATAGTGATTTCAACTAATGTATCTTCAAGCACAGACAAGAGTTATAACCATGATAGTCAATTCGAGTTTGACTCTACTGGTCGAACCAATTCTACCTAAACCTGAGTATCTCAGCGGGTGCCGAAGGCCCAATTGGTGGTCTACTCGGGCTCGGTCAAACCCATGAAAATTTAATCAAATCGAAAAATCCGACCGATTGAACCAACTTATTTGAGTACCGGGTCGCTTCAAAACGATGTTGTTTTTAACAATTTGTATACGTAACTACACTATCATATCATCCTTTTATTTATCACAAAACACTACAACATGGAACAACACAGACCATGTTCGAATATCTCATTGTCTCTTCTTCTTGCTTTAGATTAGTGAGCCTATGAAGACCCAACCATCCAAAAAGCCATCATAATCCCGCAATAGTAAATTTCATTTTTTCTCCAGCTGCACAGTCAAAGAGACAGTCGACCTCATCTCATACAAATAAGAAGCAACAATTATTAAAGGAACATGCATTTGAGTTGAAACTTTGTGTGATTAACAAAGGTCAAATTCCTCATTTTAATTATTGTTTAATACTTAATTAAATTCCTTTATATCTTATAAATAGATGATAACTTTAAAATCGCGGCTCAAATATCATTGGTTCGAATATTCCATATCGAATTGAAGTATTGAATATGTAGAAGTGATGTATAATTCTTTAATTAGTATTAAGTTTTAGACCTACTATGAAACAATCGTATTCATATCTTTGTGTAAACTATATGGGATTGGTTCTTTGAACATTTTAGTTCGGCTATCCGTCAAATTTTAAACCTCTTCTTATTCTGACATGATTGGATCCAACAATCATTACGAGTTTAATAAGTTGTCTCATTTCACCCTTTTTAAATGTGCTAATGAATTTGTAGTGAAAGTACATGTCTTTATCTACACTCTACACAATATGTAATACTGAAATAAGAAAATTGTTGTCTCGTTTCAAATTTTCTACTATATGAGCGAAAGTAGGAATGATATTTTTGCTTCACAATTCTTTTACAGAAACTACCAACTTCCAAAACCCAAAACTGTAGCTCAAACTAAAAATCAGAGCATCGAAAATCAAACTTCACAAATGTTATTTCATTTATAACTTATTTGAGAGATTTTTCTCTCTATAAACAAAGTAAAATGAAACAAGTTATAACCAAATGTTATTTCAACAGCTTTGGCTCGAAAACCATGACCCGCTTCTTCGTAAGAGAAATACTTATGGTGGTGTTAGAGATCTGGAGAGCAAAAATGAAAAGGATACATGCGGCACGAGATCTAGAAAGTTGTTGAAGATTTAGATGAGCGGTAAAAAAACCTTCCTACTTCCGAAGATTTACCACGAGTTCTTGAATGGGGATTGACAAATAGATCATCAAATCACGGGCTTGGGCTAAATAAAAGCATAGGAGGTTAGTTAGATGGTTGGTGATATAGAATTTGCCAATTTGGTACATCTACATGAGATCTCTAGCGTCGACTTAGGAAATAAAGAATCGAAGGGGAAGAAGAAGATATAGACTCTTTTATTAACAACTAATTGAGTACATGGGGGTGGATAAACAATGCATTCATTTCTCTTTTACTTATAAATAAAATAAAAATAAAAACTTCAATAAAAATTAAAAATAGTATCGTAAACTTTGATGGGTTTCTATTCAACTTTTGAATTCTGTTCCTTTTTCGGGCCTAATCAAATTATTTAAAGCTATCATTCTACTAAAAAAAATTCCCGAATAATATACGCTCTTCGCTCCCATTCTAGCTCCCGCTCCGCAAATTGGTAAGCTAAATCCGTTGAGTTAATTCTGTAGACAAAGAGACTAGCGACATAACTCGTCTTCCATCACATATTGCCTCCCTTCACAAACACCCCACGCTTAATTACCACTTGCCTGTTCCTCATTAATTCCACATCTGACACACACACCGGCACCATAGGAGTGCGACCTTCATCACGTGATG